TTGAGCATTTAGACTTTCAGTGGTGGATAGAAAGCAACTTTACCAATGTATGTTCCATGCTGTTAGGCGTCACAGTTCTGATTTTTCATGTGGTTTTTGAGAATGCTATTTGAAGTACTAAAAAAATCTTTCAATATCTTGACTGCTTTCCAATTGACAAATTTCATAAGTAACAGGGAATTACCTGTTGCTGCTACTGTAAGTTAGTCACTAAGTAGTGGCTAACAGCTCCCATTATCTATGAGAACTCCTATTATCTGCTTAGCGACTGGTTTCCAACCCTGTCACTAGGCATTACTGGCTGAAAAAAAAATTCAACAACGATATATTTTTACAGTCATAGGAAAAATAAAGTGTACCCCCTTAGAATTATATGGTTTTACATAACAATTGTCTGTTCTTTAGCAGGTTAAAATTAGAGAAATACAACCTCAGATAAACAACATCAAATGACATATACTAATGACACACCATGTCATTATTTAACCAACGTAAAGCCAAAATTAAGAAGTCATGTGTGAAACAGTAAGTACACCCTTATTGCTTCTATATGAATTAAGAATTAAGCAAAAAGACAGTCGCTGCTAATCAAATACTTTTGATGAATTAATCATCAGCAAGTGTGACCACCTCTTTAAAAGATGATTTATGAGCAGTTTGATGGTCTGGAGCATTTGGGTGTCTGTTAGCACAATGCCAAGGAGGAACTAATTCAGCAATGATCTTAGAGTAGAAATTGCTGCTGCACATCAATCTGGGAAGGGTTATTAGGCCATTTCCAAACAATTTCATCGTTCTACAGAGAGAAAGATTATTCAAAAGTGAAAAACATTCAAGACAGTTGCCAGTCTTCACAGGGGTGGACATCTCAGCAAATTCAAAATTCAAAAACCCCAAGGTGAGACAAAAAGGTTTGCAAATCTCAGAGAAATCACAATAAACACAAAAGTTACATCTCAGACTCTACAGGCCTCAGTTAGCATGTTAAATGTTTATGTTCATGACAGTACAATTAGAAAAAGACTGAAGTATGGTTTGTTTGTTTGGAAGGGTGACCAGGAAAAAGCCTATTCGTTCTAAAAAGAACATTGTAGCATGGCTTAGGTTTACAAAGTTGCATTTGAACAAATCACAAGACTTCTGGAACAATGTCCTTTGGACAAACAAGACCACAGTGGAGATGTTTGGCCATAATGCACAGTGCCATGTTTGGAAAAAAATGAGTTAAGAGAGCCGTGCATAAACAAATGCCAGCAAAGCATAATGAACTGAAGCAATATTGTAAAGGAGAGTGGGTCAAAATTCCTCCACAATGATGTGAGAGACTGATAAAATCATATGTTATTGCTGATATAGGTTGTTCTGCAAGCTATTGAATCATAAGGTTTACATAAGGTTTCACATGGCTTCTCCATTTTAGCTTCATTTTTGTTAAATAAATCATGACACGGTGTAATATGTCATGTGCTGTTGTTCATCTGAGGTTGTATTTACTTAATTTTAAGATCCTGGAACAGATTATTGTTATTAATCCTGATATGAAAAAACATAGTATTCAAAGAGGGTGGACTTACTTTTTACCATTACTGTATATATTAATCTGTACTTATGTACTTTTTGTGTGGTATTTTTATAAAATGTTCATCAACCTTAGGAAATATTTGGATGTGTCAACAGAGCTACCCGTTAGAGTACAGACGGAGAGAGAGACATACTTATTCTTTCTCAGCTGCTAAAGGAGCAGCTCCTATAACTTTTACAGATAAATATTAATGCGATGATCAGACAATATGTAGTGATAAGGTGTTTATTATCAGGACAAATAATTGTATCCACAGAAAAGTTTTGTGGATATAATTTAGTTGGAGAATAAACTATTTAAGCTTTAATTTTGCCATTTAGATTTATTTTACTAAAATGCAAAAACATTTAAACAAGGGGACTGGACAAGATAAGGAAAAAGGTTTAAAAATAGCAAAAATTATTACAGACTTAAATTTAAAACTCTATTAGGAGGATGTACTGATTGTGACTGGAAGGTACAATATATAGTAGCAATAAAGAAAGATCACAACTGCATCATTACAAGAAGGATCTTAAGCTACTCACTTAACCCTTTAGTGACCAGACCATTTTTTTTATTTTCTTACTGTTAAGGACCAGGGCTGTTTTTACAATTCTGTGGTGTTTGTTTTTAGCTATAATGTTCCTCTTACTCGTTTACTGTACCTACACATATACCATTTTTCTTGCCATTAAATGGTCTTTCTAAAGATACCATTATTTTCATGATATCATATAATTTACAAGAAAAATTATAAAATATTATTAAATAAATATAAAAAAAACCACACTTTTTCTAACTTTGACCCCCAAATTCAGTTATGCATTTAGACCCGCCAAACAACACCCATGCTAAATAGTTTCAAAATTTTGTTCTAAGTTTAGAAATACCCAATGTTTACATGTCCTTAGCTTTTTTTGGAAAGTTATAGGGCAATAAGTACAAGCAACACTTTGCAATTTCCAAACCATTTGTTTTTAAAAAATTAACAAAAGTTACATTGTAACACTGATATCTGTCATGAATCACTGAATAACCCTTCACGTGTACATATTTTTTAAAAGAAGACAACCTAAGGTATTAAACTTGGGGTATTTTGACTCTTTTCATGCAACCATTTTACCACCAATCTATGCCAAATTTAAAAAATAATAATAATTGATGATTGTTTTGACACACAGAGCAATTTAAAGAATACATGTACTGAGAACTTTAATGGTTACTGACAAAGAACACCCCAATATGTTTTCAGTAACATCTCCTGAGTACAGTGATACCACCTATGTATAGGTGTGTCAGGTTCTCTGCGGGCTAAAAGACCTTATTTGGAGGGTGTGCATTCCAGTTTTCCAATTTGGACTTTTCACAGCTGGTCATCATGCACCCATGTCCTATTTGGGACATTTTTGAAACTGGCGAATGTAATTTACACCCATCAAACCATATAGTCTTGAAACGTAGACACCCTAGGGCATTTCAAATGGTGGCATTGTCATACTTTCCATGCACTAATTCTACCACCAGTCTTTGTCAAACCTTTGGGTAGTCATTTTTTGGTGTTATTTTTCTCTCACATTTTTCTTCTCACACTTACTTTAGGCATTGATTCTCAGTTCCTGTTATGTATTACTGACAAAGAACACCCCAATATGTGTTCATCAACATCTCCTGAGTACAACAGTGCCCTTAATATACAGGTTTTATGTGTTTTTGCAAACTTACAGTGGTCAAATGTAAGGTTTCCCCCTTTCCATGTTTGCACATTGAAATTTGCCAGATTGGTTAATTGGGCTGTTGCTTTTCAGACCGTATGGCAGCCCAGGAATGAAAATTAACCCCATTATGGCATACCATTTGTAAAAGTAGACAACCCATAGTATTCAAAATTTGGTATGTCCAGTCTTTTTTAGTAGCCACTTAGTCACAAACCCTGGCCAAAATAAGCGTTTATATTAGTTTTTTGTATTTTTCAAACATACGATGATATTATCAGTATAATACATTTTAATGCTCTCACATACAGGTTTTATAGTGATTTGGAACGTTACAGGGTAAAATATAAGATTTGCCAATTTCTGTTTTTGTAAATCGCTATTTGCCAGATTGGCTATATTGCCTTTGAGACGGTATGGCAGCCCAGAAATGAAAAGTAATCCCACCATGACATACCATTTGAAAAAGCAGACAACCCAGGGTATTCAGATTGGGGTATGTCCAGTCTTTTGTAGTAGCCACAAATGTTTGCCAAAGTTAGCATTCAGATTTGTTTTTTTGCATTTTTATTTACACAAAAACTGCACTTTTACTGGTGATTTCATCATCATGATACGTTTTACTGTTTTAAACACTCATATTTGTGTTCAGTGAAGTCTCCTGAGTATAACAATGCTCCCCATGTACAGGCTTTATGGTGTTTTAGAAAGTTACAGGGTAAATAAAGGGCTCGCCTAATTCAGTTTGCCAAATTGGTTTGCTGGGACTATGTTGCTTTTGAGACAATATGGTAGCCCAGGAATGTGAATTAACTCCATCATGGCATACCATTTTCAAATATAGACAACTCAAGGTTTTCAGAATAGGGTATTTCCAGTCTTTTGTAGTAGCCACTTAGTCACAAACGCTGGTCAAAGTTATTGTTTTTATTTGTTTTTTTGCATTTTTTAACATAAAAACTGCACTTTTACTGGTGATATCATTGTTGTGATAAGTTTTACTTTTAAAAACACTCATATTTGTGTTCAGCGAACACAGTATAACAATCCCGAGTATAACAATACCCCCATGTAAATTTTTTATGGTGTTTTGGAAAGTTACGGGGTTAAATATAGGGCTTGCCAATTAAATTCTCTGGACTGTCTGCCTGGGTTGTCAGATAGGTCCCTCAAATTAATAAAATCAAACAATTATGTATGTAATAGTTAAATATATATGTAGAAGGTATATATATATATATATATATATATATATGTAAAATGATGAAAATAAAATGTTTTACACCCGGTCACTAAAGGGGGTACCCAGGCTAGCCACTTCATCTTAGTGCGTTTTGCTGGGTGTTCAGGGCTTAGAGGCTGAACCCCGGCAGGGCCTAAAAAATATTGCCTGGTGAGCATAAAAGAAAAAATCTAGGCCTGCTTAAGCAGACTCGTTCCAAACAGCTGTGAAGGACAGGAAAAAAGACTGCCTGATGGGAAGGGGGAGGATCTATTTATACCAGTTTCAAAGTTCTATTTCCTGTCCTTTCTGCTGTGAGGGGAGGAGCTAACCCATGAGTAAATGCTGCCATGAATAATGGTCAAGAAATATATATATATATATATATATATATATATATATATATAAATATATATACACACACACACATATAATACATGTGTGTATATATATATATATATATATATATATATATACACACACACACACACATATACATATAATACCTGCGTATATAATAAGTGTGTTTGTGTGTGTGTGTATATATATATATATATATATATATATACACACACACACACACACACACACACACACACACACATACTTTTATTTCCTACATATGTATAATATATTGTAAAATAATTAAAGCATTTTATAAAATATTATTTTTAATGCATATATATGATTTCATTATAAGTGTATTTTGAGATATATGTGTATAAATCTCAAAATACACTTATAATGAAATCATATATATGCATTATATATAATATATTATAAAATGCTTTAATTATTTTATAATATATTATACATATATAATATATGTATAATATATATATATTTTTATTTTATTTTACTTTTTAGCAGCTGGGGGATATGTGTTCATCAACATCTCCTGAGTACAACAGTGCCCTTAATATACAGGTTTTATGTGTTTTTGCAAAATTACAGTGGTCAAATGTAAGGTTTTCCCCCTTTCCATGTTTGCACATTGAAATTTGCCAGATTGGTTAATTGGGCTGTTGCTTTTCAGACCGTATGGCAGCCCAGGAATGAAAATTAACCCCATTATGGCATACCATTTGTAAAAGTAGACAACCCATAGTATTCAAAATTTGGTATGTCCAGTCTTTTTTAGTAGCCACTTAGTCACAAACCCTGGCCAAAATAAGCGTTTATATTAGTTTTTTTAGCAGCTGGGGGGACTGCCTGACAGCTCAGACAGTCCCCATGCAGGCAGCTCCATAGACTCCTATTGATGATAGGTGATCACATAGCCCTGGAGGGCTGGGCTGGCTGGTGCTGCTGCAGGAAGACTGCTGAGGTCTGCAGCAGTCCCCCCCCCCGACCGTGATCAGCGCGCATCGCCGGTCCATGTAAATGCAGAGCTCCTTTTTGCCTTAACGACCATTTTTTGTCAGACGTACCTAGTACGTAGGCGGTCGTTAAGGGGATATATGTATTTATAACGTTATTCTAAATGTATTTAGATTTAAATATATATGTATATTAATTTAAAAATACAGAACAAATTTAAACTGGTATATAATTTTTTTTATTTAATTTTATTTATTTTATTTTATTTTTTCTATTTATTTATTATTTTTATTTTATATATATGTATGTATATATATATATATATATATATAATTATAGTTATAATTCTAAATCCATACATATATATAATTAACGTCATTCTAAGTGTATTTTAATATTAACATATTTTTTAGGCCCTGCCGGGGTTCAGCCTCTAGGCCCTGAACACCCAGCAAAACGCACTAAGATGAAGTGGCTAGCCTGGGTACCCCCTTTAGTGACTGGGGGTAAAACATTTTATTTCCATCATTTTATATATATATATATATATATACATATATATATATATATATATATATATATATATATATATATATATATATATATATATATATATATATATATATATATATATATATATACATATACATATGGAAAAGAGGAGGAGGAGGAGTCTGCGCTAAATAACAAAAAAATGGAAGCTGTGACCCTAAAAAGGGAATCCCTCAAAAACCCTTGAAAACAGCAAAGAAGAAAAAAAGGGGGGTGAAGGGCTGCGCTATAAAATGGATAATCTCACAATATATAGACTATATGTTAATGTAGTACGATAAATAAAACAGAATCCATACAATAATAAAAAATACATAAAACAAAGTCCATGCAATAGTAGAGATCAAATACTAGAATGTCCAGTAAAATGTATAAAATCGTCTCACTGATATATGGATAAGCATGTATACAATCCTCAGGAGTAGATCCGTCCGGGTTGTGAATAGTCCATATATGTGAAGATAAAAACACGAAAAAATTCCAATAGTGTAGTATGTTACTTGAAATTTATATAAAATGAAAAATGGAGGATAATACACTCACATTTGATGGAGCTTTGGACCAGCTCTTGGATGAAGGGCACTTAGCGGTATAATCCCCGCTAAAGGAAAAATGCTGGCAGTAGATCTGTCCGTCCAACTTGGTATCTGTAGTGGTCCGTAGAATATATGGAGACAATAATAGTGCTCTCAATACGAAAAGATAAAATAAAATAATAATAAAATATACTCACAATGATAGAGCAGAAAATACTGTTGAGCTTCAGCTGCTAGACAGATGGTTCTCCTGCAAAATGTCTTGATAAACTTAGGAATTCATTTTTCCTTCGATGATAGCAATCCGTCCAGGCCCTGATGCAGCAAAGCAGCCCTAAACCATAATGCCCCCACCACCATACTTCACAGTTGGGATGAGGTTTTGATGTTGGTGTGCTGTGCCTTTTTTTCACCACACATAGTGTTGTGTGTTTCTTCCAAACAACTCAACTTTGGTTTCATCTGTCCACAGAATATTTTGCCAGTACTGCTGTGGAACATCCAGGTGCTCTTGTGCAAACTGTAAACATGCAGCAATGTTTTGTTTGGACAGCAGTGGCTTCCTCTGTGGTATCCTCCCATGAAATCCATTCTTGTTTAGTGTTTTACATATTGTAGATTCGCTAACAGGGATGTTAGCATTTGCCAGTGACTTTTGTAAGTCTTTAGCTGACACTCTAGGATTCTTCTTCACCTCATTGAGCAGTCTGCGCTGTGCTCTTGCAGTCATCTTTACAGGACGACCACCCCTAGGGAGAGTAGCAGCAGTGCTGAACTTCCTCCATTTATAGACAATTTGTCTTACCGTGGACTGATGAACAGCTAGGCTTTTGGAGATACTTTTATAACCCTTTCCAGCTTTATGCAAGTCAACAATTCTTAATCGTAGGTCTTCCCGAGAGCTCTTTTGTGCGAGGCATCATTTACATCAGGCAATGCTTCTTGTGAAAGCAAACCCAGAACTGGTGTGTGTTTTTTATAGGGCAGGGCAGCTGTAACCAACACCTTCAATCTCATCTCATTGATTGGACTTCAGTTGGCTGACATCTCACTCCAATTATCTCTTGGAGATGTCATTAGTCTAGGGGATCACATACATTTTCCACCTGCACTGTGAATGTTTACATGGTGTGTTCAAAAAAAACATGGCAACATTTCATTCTTTGTGTTATTAGTTTAAGGAGACTGTGATTGTCTATTGTTGTGACGTAGATGATGATCAGATCACATTTTATGACCAATTTGTTCAGAAATCCATATCATTCCAAAGGGTTCACATACGTTTTCTTGCAACTGTATATATATATGGTTTACATAATCCTGATGAAAGTCCTTGAATAGGACTGAAACGTCGATTTTTTTAGGAAAGCTTAATAAAAGTTATTTTTTAATGAATCCATGAGAGCAACCTTTGACACTGTTACATATATATATATATATATATATATATATAATATTACAATACACTTTTAATAATGGTGTATGTGTGTTTATGTGCATGTAAAAGTACTTGGCTCATATACATATGATCAAAGTACTTTTTATGTACTTTATAAATTTTTATATAACTTTTTCTAACTTTCAAAACTTTTTTTCAGCCACTTGGGGGTCTACCTGAGCTCCCAGGCAGACACCAAGAACGCGATCGCTGGCGGGGGTTCGCCAGTGATCAGCTAAGTGGTTATTTGCTATAGGACGTACCAGGTACGTGTGAGATTGTTAATGACCATCTTTTGTTGGACGTACCTGGTATGCCCGAGGTCGTGAAGGTGTAATACAGTAATATATCTGCCAACATCCTATGCCCACCTTTTGGGACACAGGTGGGCAGAGAAGAGATCTACTGGCACATTTCAAAACATATGGGACAGATCCCCAGGACCTATATTTGCTGGGACCATTCCCCAAAATGCAAATTCAGGACTTTTATTTGTAATTTCTAGCACTAGTAATTGTGCTTTCTTATCTATTTCTTTGAATCAACACTCATGCAGCAATAATTTCCCAAATGCAAGTCTTTTATTACAGTGTGCAGCCACTGGCATGCATGTCCCCAGTTGATATTACACCCTGTTCCAAATTATTATGCAAATTTTATTTTTCTCATTTACCTAAATAATCGATGTAAATACCAGTCAGCATAATTCTCATGTTATCAACTATTAAGAGTACAATTCAAGTTTTATTGAACAAACCTCCTAATGATAACAGTATTTTTTTTAAACATAAAAAACTTACAATGTACTGTTCCAAATTATTACGCACAGTAAGTTTCAAAACACTTTATAGGTTGTAAAGAACTGAAAATTGTCATGTGTTGTGTTTGCAGCATATTTACTGAAATAAAAAGCTATTTCAATCAAACTTATAACAACATTTTAACTTTTTAAACATTTTAACAGGTCACGTTTCATTTTAACATAGGACCACTTATTTGATAGCAGCTTCACAAGTCTTGCATCTATTGAACGTGTGAGTTTTTGGACAGTTTCTGCTTTAATTTGTTTGCAATATGTCAGAATAGCCTCCCAGAGCTGCTGTTTGGATTTAAACTGCCTGCCACCCTCATACATCTTTTGCTTGAGGATGCTCCAAAGGTTTTCAATAGGATTGAGGTCAGGGGAGGATGGAGGCCACACCATGACTTTCTCTCCTTTTATCCCCATAGCAGCCATTGATGCAGAGGTATTCTTCGCAGCATGAGATGGTGCATTGTCATGCATGAAGATGATTTTATTACGGAAAGCATAGTTCTTCCTTCTGTACCAGGGAAGAAAGTGGTCAGTCAGAAACTTCATATACTTTGCAGAGTTCATCTTTACACCTTTCGGGACCCTAAAGGGGCCGACTAGCTCTCTTCCCGTGATTCCGGCCCAAAACATGACTCCACCACGGCCTTGCTGACGTCGCAGCCTTGTTGGAATAGGATGGCCGTCCACCAACCATCCACTACTCCATTCATCTGGACCATCCAGGGTTGCACGGCACTCATCAGTGAACAGGACTGCTTGAAATGTAGTCTTCATGTATTTTTCTGCCCAATGCATTGTTTTCTAACTTTCTGCTTGTGAGCATTGTTTAGTGGTCGCCGAATAGAAGGTTTATGCACAGTTGCAAGACTCTGGAGGACTCTAAACATTGATGTCAGTGGGACTCCAGAGGCACCAGCAGCTTCAAATATCTGTTTGC